ATTTTCAGGCGACGGGCATTGTGGAGTAGCGACGCGAGCCCAATGTGCGTTGATAGAGATTCAAGTTGAGATATCTTGATGGAGAAGGATACATGGATTAAGGGGGAGCAAATTTAACACTGAGCACACACGTGGGGGGAGATTGTTGAGATTTACTTGTGAGCTGTGTTAGAAAATCCCACATCGAAGAATTGGTGTGGTGTGAAGCTGTTAATATATCGTAATTGGTCCATAATCCATTGGCTTAAGCTTTTAAGTGAAGGTGAATCTGACTGGATATATTGATGAGCTAAACTTGAGCTCCCTCTTGGTGATTTCCCATGTGAAGGTATCAAACTTTCGCTACCCGCTCCCAACAAATGACATATGCTTCTTGTTGAGCCATTTTCATGTTTGGCTTTTAATAAATGATGAAACGCAATATGCAAATACAAAAAGGATGACAAACTCGTTTCAAAACTATCTTGTGTAGAAAGATGAAGGAGAGGAGGCTCAAGATTGATTGATTAGAAAGAAAAAGGAGATGGGAGAAAAAACTTCCGTAAATTTTTATCTTTAATGAGTATTTTAGCCAATTGAACTCAAAAAGATGTAAATTAAGCCATTTAATGATGTAGAATTAGTGCCACCTACATTTAGGAGCTAAACCACTTCTCCGTCAAAATGTTTAATATTTTGAACATTTGTCGATTATCCCACAATAGTCTGTGTTAATACGAAAGGTAGGAGGCCTTCCCTATTAGGTCATTACCAAATTTAACGCTTCGCTCAAAGGCCAAATTCTAGACCACGCATGAGGAAAAGTGTTGCAGCACCAGCAGGCCTTCATCTAACGTTGATAGTTTGGCAGTGATGTAACAAAATCCTACGGTATTTGCTGTACATCCAAAACAACCAACAAAAACTAGAATGTCTCCAAGCTAAATACAAATTAAAAGGTGTTTAAACGGCAGCAAAAACACAACGGTTGGTTGCATGACATACAAAGATAATGTACATGACTTTGATATCATGTTAATATTATAAATAAGTAGATGCACAGACCATACATAGAATTACCACACGTTGAAATGTTGGGTGCCTCTTCATTCAAAGGGTACATTGATATCTTAGGAAAATTACCAAAAAAGTTTTAAACCTATTGCAATTGTACTAATTCAATTCTAAACCCTTTTTTTTTGCCAATTGAGTTCTAAACCTTTTACATTTATGCCAATTCAGTCCATATGGCCAATTTTCGCCGGTCGGTGCTACAATGAATGCCGACTGTCCTACGTGGCGTGGCTGGCACTGACATGGAGAATTTTTAATAATATTTTAATATTTTTTTCGTTTTTTTTCTTTCCTTCTTCCCTTGGCTAGTCGCTGACCGGCCAGAGGCTAGGCTCGCCGACCACTAGCTAGGCCAAGCCTCGCCCACCCCTGGCGAGGCCAAGCTCTCCCTTGCCGTCAAGCTCGCCCTTGCCATCATGGTGGGTCAAGCTTCGCCTGGCCATGGTAAGGCTTAACCTCGCCCAGCGATGATGAGGTCGAGCCTCGCCATGGCATGGCGAGCTCGACCTCGCTAGCCCTAGCCTCTGGCCAGTCGCCGAGCCTCAACGACCGGCCAAAGGAAGAATGAAAAAAAAAAAAAAAGAAAGAGAAAGAGAAAGAAACAAAAAGGAAAAAGAAATTAAAAAATTTTGAAAAAAATATTAAAATGTTATTGAAAATTATCTACGTCAGTACCGGCCGGCCATGCCACGTAGGACGGCCAGCATCCATGTTAGCACCGGCCGGTCAAAATTAGCTGGATTAATTGAATTGGTACGAATACAAAAGGTTTAGGATTTAATTGGCCAAACAGAAAGTTTAGGTAGACATAATTGCAATAGGTTAAGAACTTTTTTGGTAATTTTCCCTTGATATCTCACTCTTTCTTTTTTGGGTTAATGACACAAATAGTCTCTGAACTTTGGCTCAATGTGCAATTTGATCCCTAAATTTTTAATTTGTTCAATGTGATCCATGAACTTTAGCCTATTGTTTAATATGATCCCTGAATTTTTAATTTGTTCAATATGGTCCCTGGACTTTTGGTACATGTTCAATTTAGTCTCTAAATAATATGAAAATGTTTAATGTAGTCCCTCCATTAATTCAAGTTCAGGGACTACACTGAACATGTACCAAAAGTCCAGGAACCACATTAAACAAATTAAAAGTTCATGAACCAAATTACACATTGAACCAAAATTTAAGGATTGTTTGTGTCATTTTCCCTTCTATTTTTCTTTTTTGTCCCAATCTTCTTCCCGAGCGGCGTGATCACCGATCACCACCCCACTGGCACGCCTTCTGTCGTTTCTCAGTTTCCTCTCCATCTCCTTTGTCAGCCCTCTTATCACGGTCCCAATCATGATCATCAGTACCAACATCCTCTCTCTCTCTCTCTCTCTCTCTCTCTCTCTCTCTCTCTCTCTCATGTCGCAACCAAGGCGCAATATGCATAGAGATAGAGATACTTTCAAGGGGTTTAATGGTGTTGAGTGCGAATTCTCATGAAGCGTGGAGATACTTTTATCAATTTGGAGTAGTTAGATCATCCCTAACTGAAGAAGATTCCAAACCCACGTTAAGTTTATGGAGTTATGTTCAATGTTTAACCTCACAGTATCTAAGCGTAGATAAGATGACTGTAGCAGATGTAGAGATCAATAACCAAGACCGTCCAATACTATATCCATCACTTGGAGAATTCAGCATATAAAAACAAATTTACACAGTGCAACACCATCGCCCACAACATGTCTGAAATGGGAATTTACAGGGGCACACACAGACAAGACAAAAGGATCGTAGATAAGGTTAACGTACAAGACAGCATTTGCAGGAAGACAGTGAAGCCAAGTAAGCAATATACTGTAGTATACATACACAAGCAGGATATATTATCTGTACCACTTATATATCCACCTACGCAGCCATATCTGAACAATATTAATTGGCCCGTCTTGCATATTAGATCCTAACAATATAAACTGAGAGGGGGGGTGTGGGGGGTGGGGGAGGAGGTGGGGGGGAGGAGATAGAGAATTTTGACCACAAAACCGACGAAAGGATTTGGAATTGAAGCATGGGATAAGTTTAGCTTCTTGCATGGCTCTAAACTACACCATTTTTGGTCAATCCTTCATTTTAAATTAAGCAAAAACGAGGGAGAAAAGAAGAAGAAGAACCAAATGTTGTAGGAAGATAAGGCAAAGCATCAGAGAGTGGGGATGGGGGACAACATGGTTTGGTCCAACTGAGAGAGAGCGAGAATGTGGAGAGAGATGGAGAGGACCTCTTTGTCCTTTCATGTTACCAATATGTGTATAAAACACAAAATAACACCAATTCTTCCCTATTCTTTTCTCAGGTTACATACCAGATGTTCCCTATTCATCCAACAAGAGTGTCTTGACTGTGACCGCAGAGTGAGAGACATGGGTGGTTGAGTGAGGGTATAGCAATACAATACATATCATGCACATTAGAGAAAAGGAAAGCACCAATTCAATCACACAATATCAAGATTAATGCACAAACTTAATCGCGCTGAATTTATCAAATTTGAACTCCAAATTGGAGCAAGATAGCATACTTCAAATTATTTACCCAGCAAAAGAACAAAAGTACTCTTTCTAAATTGTGATTGAGCTCAAAATAAATCACCACCCTCTTATACGTCAAACTAGCTAGACTCCGTGTCATCGCCTCTTAATCCCTTCCACAAAATAGTACAGAAACCAATTCCCCAACCCTTGAAATTAACTCAAAGAAGATCACATTTTCTCTTCCATTAGAAAACTCTAGACCACATCTAAGTCAGAGAGATATGAGAGAGCCTCAAATTGGCCCTAGCTAGAACAACAATAGAAGCAAGTGATCAGTGTGTTCCAGCCAAACACACACTATTCATGATGACGTAAGTTGTGGTTGCACCAGATGCGCAAATTGACCATGTTTTGTGCCGGGACATATCATCCAATAGTGGCAATGCTCATTGTCTACCTCTTAAAAAGCAAATACACTCTTCGACCAAAAAAAAGCAAATACACTCGGCGGTTACGTCGAGGACTATGTTACAGTCTCTCTTATGATGTGTCAATGTCTTCCCAACATATTTTGCCAGGGAATTTCAGATAGACCGTAGCTTCATGGGAGATGACTAGAATGATGTTGGACAAGAAAGGACGCAGAATGCACTGTTCATCATCGCCGTGAATTGTGCTGTTCACAACAAAGCAAGGAGTTGGTAAGAAAAGAGAGCTCAACTAACATGTTTCTACAGATCAGGAAAGACTCTGAAGATTAGGGTTTTTTATGTTGAACTTGAAGCGAGCATCTTGACTTGGTTTGGATGATCAAGGAAAAGTGGCCTTAATGAAAGCTTGATTTTAGCTCCCAACTCGAGTTTCGAGTACACATGCATGAAGAAATTGATAATTATTCTGTGTGGATTTATAGATAAAATAGTTAGAACGTGCGAAAATTCAATCGTTAAACGAGCTTCTTCATTGGCCTTTTAAAGTATGATAACTCATAAATAAGCATTACCACAAATATTTTACCATCAAATCTCCATATGTAAAAAGATATATCGTTTTGAGTATAGATACACAATTAATAAAAAACTCACAACTTCCGGGTCAATCATGCCTACTGAATTTTCAAGTATGTATTTACGACATCGACCCTGTAGGTCAAATATTCTCGTACTATCATACATTTTGCAGATGACATGTGAGGGGTGCTTATCTATATGCTTCCGTTAGTTTGGACCGTTCTAGTGCCGGGACCCTATACAGCATAAGCTGGAAACATACGACTGATGCAAGTGCAAGTGCAACCATGCTTTGAGAAAATACAAAATAAAATGAGAAGGCCGTACCTCTCTCGCTATTAAATGTAAAAGTTGCACACACAATAGTAGAACGAACTTGCTCTTGGGCCGTTATATATACACACCACCCATCAAACATATTTGATCTATCAAGCCGGGAGTCACCAAAAACACAAACACAGAGAGAGAGAGAGAGAGAGAGAGAGAGAGAGACTTGGGAGATGGAGAAGGAGACGAAACAATCGAAATTCAAAAGGATTTGTGTGTTTTGTGGGAGTAGCCAAGGCAAGAAGAGCAGCTACACAGATGCCGCCTTAGAACTTGGAAGAGAGCTGGTAATGCAAACACCTCTCTCTCTCTCTCTCTCTCTCTCTCTCTCTCTCTCTCTCTCTCTCTCTCTCTCTCTCTCTCTCTCTCTCTGTAATTCTTTTGTCCCTACGATTCCACCATTCTGGCTCATATCATTAGTCTTTTGGTTTATTGTCTCTGTCGCTTCTTCATCCTCAGAATTCCTCTACTTTTTTTCCGTCTCAGTCACATTCGGGTAGGTTCTCTTTGATTTGATGGAAGTGACATTCTGATATGTTGATGGCTCAAATTTCGGTTCACTAGAATTCCCAGATGGAGTTATCTTAATGGCATTGATGGTTCGCTCCATCTTAATTTCGTAGCCTTAGGCGACTCAGCTAAATAACAGGACTCTGTTTCATCAAGAAAGTCTCTGTTTCTGCAAACATGCCAGTATAACTTGTGCAAGTACAGAGTTGATCATGTACGCGCAGTAGCTTCTCATGACGAGAGGCTGAGAGCAGATTCTTGAATTTCCTGCTTGGTGATCAGTGAAAAAGGAAGTTCCTTCAGTTGCAAACATTAATGAGATTTATATTCTGGGTGATGCATGTTGAAGGTGTCGAGGAACATTGACCTGGTGTACGGTGGTGGAAGCATCGGTCTGATGGGCCTTGTTTCCAGAGCCGTCTACAATGGCGGCCGACATGTCATTGGGTAATCAATTATCTGCTTTTAACTCTCATTTTCTACCATTCTGAAGCTTTCTTCTTTCATTCGTGTTAATTTGAAGTTTGGGGTTCGCTGACATTTTTTGTTCTCTCTTTTTTTGTCATTTTCCGGACTGCAGAGTGATTCCCAAGACCCTTATGCCTAGAGAGGTATATCTGTTATCATGATTTTATATTCTTCTTTTTTACCGATGAATGAAACATTTAGATGAAAGTGACCAAACAGATCAGAAACAGAGAGAGAGAGAGAGAGAGAGAGAGAGAGAGAGAGAGAGAGAGAGAGAGAGACATCACGGCATTATCTGCCTCCCTTTTCCACAGTCGGTTTTCGAGATGGTTTAGTCTAAGTAGTCCTCGTCAACTTGTGGGCAGCTACTACAGTTGTTGCATGAATTTCCAGCCTCACCTTTGTTATCCCTAAAACGGGAACTTGCTCGCTTGTCTCTTTTCATGTTTCTTGCGTTATGCCATTGCATCAAAGCTGTTTTCCATAAAGCTTCATTAGGCAAAGAGCCTCTGATTGGTTCTGAAAAATTGTGGTCAGTTTGGAATCCTGATGAACTTCATCAACGGACCTGACCTTGGGGCTTCTGAGTTTTGTTTGGGTCTCTTGCTCAGTTTGTCCCTCTCTGATGGTCCATTTGTACCCACTTGTTTAGATTCTTCAATGCACACAGTGCCCAACATTCCTTTTGCGAGTCCATCTCAGCTTTTGTACGTTGTCTCTCTCTCCAACCCACCCCCCTCCCCCACCCTTCCCACCCCCCCCCCCCCCCTCTCTCTCGTGCTTTCCTTTTCTTGTGTCATCCCTTTTTGGTCTTGGGCTCTCAAGCACTGGTCAGACAAATCAAACACTAGTTTGAGCCCACCTCAGGCTCGATCTCATCATTGCCTCTCCCTCCTTGCCAGGGCGCTTTCAGACAACTCTCTCTCTCTCTCTCTCTCTCTCTCTCTCTCTCTCTCTCTCTCTCTCTCTCTCTCTCTCTCTCTCTCTCTCTCTCTCTCTCTCTGTATTGTTGGGGAATTGAGTGTTTTGGTTGATGAATTGGCAGCTGACTGGAGAAACGGTGGGAGAAGTGAAGGCGGTGGCAAACATGCACCAGAGGAAAGCAGAGATGGCTAGACATTCAGATGCTTTCATTGCCTTGCCCGGTTTGTTCCTATCTTTCACCACACACCACTGTCAAACTCATGACGGCTGATTCGATTTTGCACTCCGATTCGACAACATTCATCATGTAACTCTTGTCTAGGCCGAACTGGCAAGAGCGACAGACATAGGTAGTGGTGCTGCGAGGTCGGGACACTCTCTTTCTCTCTAGGTTTTCTTCTGGAAGATGATTACTTCGAGAAGCAGATCGATGCACAAAAATATGCATCCAACCAGCAAAATTTATCTGAAAAAAAACAGATGGAGTTGGACTAGTCGATCCCACTCAATCAAATCTTTACACTCCTACAGCACTTTTTTTTCTTCTAAAAAGAAGCGTAGATCAATCATGAAAGCAAGTACTCCCAATTAGACATGACACAGCAATTGCAAAATCCTGGAGGAGTGAAATTGCGTGTACCAAAACGCCAACGAATTGGAGGGAAAGGACATACAGAAAAAGGAATCAAAAGAGGTTGAACAAAGATCAAGAAGAGGTTAGGCCCAAAAGGACAAAATAATGGCCCAAAAGGATAGAGAATAAGCTAAGACTAGGATGACCAACAAAGAAAAGCACAGAACCTAATGATGGTCCAAGTTACTGACAGAGAGCCCGACTCTGGTTTTTGTTTCTCTTTCTGTTGGTGCAGGTGGGTACGGGACTCTTGAAGAGCTTCTGGAAGTGATAACGTGGGCTCAACTTGGCATCCATGACAAGCCCGTAATACTTCTCTCTCTCTCTCTCTCTCTCTCTCTCTCTCTCTCTCTCTCTCTCTCTCTGTGGGGTTGCTCTGTTTCTGTCGTTGTTGATGAGAGAGTGCAAATGAATGAATGTTGCAGGTGGGATTGCTGAACGTGGATGGGTACTACAACTCCTTACTGTCGTTCATAGACAAAGCAGTGGAGGAAGGCTTCATCAGCCCGAGCGCTCGCCACATCATCGTCTCTTCTCCTTCGGCTAAGGACTTGGTCAAGAAGATGGAGGTATCAGATTCATCGTCCTCTCTCTCTCTCTCTCCCATGAACAAGGGGCTTGTCCTTTTACTCTCTTCTTCCTTATTCATTCGGAGGAATCTGTTTCAGGAGTACTTTCCACGCCATGAAAGGGTTGCTTCCAAGCTAAACTGGGAGACTGAACAACTGGGACACAACCCAAAATGCGACATCTCCAGATGAGAGAGACCTGACTCGTGAGGGACTCTCTTCTCTCCCTCCCTCTGTCTCCGTCTCTGTCTCTGAAGGAAGAAGGAAGGAGGAGGAAGAGACAAACACGTCTGCCACTCCTCCCCTCCGTTCGTTTCCTAACTGGGTCGTGGAAACTAACTTTGAAATTCTGAATTTTTATGTGAACTGCTTCATTGTGGAGGAAGAGATGATTACATCTTCCAGAGTTTCTCATGTGAAAAAAAAGAAGAGAGGGATGGATTTGTAAAATTGTGATTGTGTTATCTTCCTCATTGTTCTTCATCCTCATTCCTCTCATGTCTGCAAATCTTGGAATCAGTTGAAGTTTCTTCTGAAGATCCACCTAAGTGAGATCATATTACAGCTCAAATCCTTTGATAAATAAAGGATTGAAAGAAAGATCAAAGTCGAGTTGATCAGTTAATTCGATAACAAACGATGATTAGCTCTCGATTTATTCGTAGTTTCGGTATCGTCCCACCGAACCCAATTCCATTTTGACAATTTGCCAATGAGTGCCTCTGGCCAAATATCCAAATAATACATTTAGGACTAAATTAGCAAAATCATCAAAAATTTTAAGACTAAATTGGCATAATTGAAATGTTTATGACTAAATTGGCAATAATCAAAAGATTTTATGACTGAATTGGCTACCGTACAATAAATTTAGGACTTTTTGGAAATTATCCCGTCATTTATAACCCAAGCATCTATTATACAAGAAGTATAGATGCATATAGGGCTGTGCAAAACAAACCGCCCAAACCGGGAACTGCCCGGACCGGACCGAACATTCTGTCCAATTCCCAGGAGTGTTAGTTCGATTCCCGGTTCCTAAAAGTAGAACCGATATCCGAGCGGTCCGGTTCCCGGTTCCAAGGGGGAACCGGACCGAACCGGACCGACTCTATATACTTTTTTTATATTTTATTTCTTCAAAAAAATTAGTAAATTCTTAACTAAACCTTAAGTGAATCTCATTAACATAGATTCATTATAAAAAAATTAGTAAAATATGAACTAAACCCTAAATAATCGGTTCTATTGGACCAAACTGGACCACCATCGCTTCGATCCAATTCCCGATCCTAGGACCAAATGGTCTAGTCCTCAGTTCCCAATTTTGGGAACTAGGAACCAATCGCCCATTGAAAACTGAGAACTAATCACTCCTAGATGCATACACCCTCGATGCATATCAGTAATAGTTATATTACAAAACAGTGGTATTAATAACTAATTTTGGGGCATTTGTTGAGTATGTTTAATAAAAGAATATTTGATTTTCAGGTTTGTTTAGATCATTTGGAGAAATTTTTTATTTTTTGGTTAGAGAAAAAGTTGAGTATAGAGGAAATTACTACTTTTTTCTTGATTCAGTTGTTTTGCGAGTATTTTAGATGTGCTTTTTAACAAAATCGTCCCCAAAATGACATCTTCTATAGTTAAATCGTTTTTGTTAAAATTTCAAGGTTTTTTAGAAATTTGGAAAGGAAATCTTTGTGGCTCTTTTTATTTCAAGAAAGGTTCAAAATTTAGTTAGCTTGATTTACCTTCATATTATTTACACTTAAAAGAAGTTCGATATAAAAGGGTAATCTAAAATCTCAATCGAGTGCTGTGGAGAATTGTGAAGCATAATGATGCGCATGAATTAAGGCTCTATATCCTATTAAAAAAAAGAATTAAATATTTATATTAGAAAAATAAATTATTTGAAAAACGTTTTCCTAAAAAAATTGCATGTATCTCTTGAAATAATCAATCAATTAAAATATTTTCATCATGGACAACAATTTATGTTTTAATATTTTCGTGGACAATGAAAATATTTTTTGTTCATTTATTATTATAAGCAACATAAACGATCATTCTTAGGAAAATATTTTGCAAATCATGCATTTTTCGCGAAATAAATACTCTTTAAGTAAGTCAATTATAAGAGTGAAACTTGAAATCAACCCGAGAGGGACTAGCCCCGAAACATTCGTCTCGATATAGCCGGAATTGGCTTTGCGGCTTGAGCAACCACCCCATATATATTCATTCTCCGTGCTACTAAATGTAAACATGAATCTCATGTTTGACCAGCTATTCCGGTCCCCGTCTCACGAACTATTCACGTTCGAGCCATCACCAAACTCTCGAACTCACGAATCATATATGATCCGCGCTTATCCGCCCGTTCATGGTCCACCCTCCCTCGCGAAGAAAACGCCCAATTGCTCAGATCTCTCGACACGTTCGATTAATCACGTCGCGTGGGTTAAGACCCCCTTTTAGTCCCAATTAAACTCATGCATGCATCACTAAAAGAAAAGGGCCAAAATGAGAAAAAAAAAATGGGTGATGAATTTGAAGGCGTCAAGCGATTCGCCCCCATAGCATTAGTATGCGGACCAATATTCATGCACCTTAGGACGCGAGGAATTATTGGACGCACGATCATCATCTTGGTCTATTCGAGATTTAAATTCAACGAATTTAGAAATGCCCACCTCCCCCAAAAAAAAAAAAAACTGAAAACGAAGACGAAGTAACGTGCCCGAAACATGGACGTTGTCGCGTCAAACAGATCTGGAAAAAAGAAAAAATAATAATTAGAATCAATTAAATTATTTTTCTCAAGATGAGAAAACAAAAAAAGAAGGAAAAAAGAGGAGAAAAGAGAGAGAGAGAGAGATCACGTGAATCTAGACCCCACCCCTCAAAAAAAGGCGTTGACCGCGACCAGATCGGGCTGTCCTCGTGCGGCATGCGGGGATGCGGGTGTGCCCGAACCGACAGCGACGAGAGGCGCGCGCGCGCGCACGGTAAGATCCGGTGAGGTCGCCCTCCTCGTACGACCGCTCCCCCCCCCTCCTCCCTCTCTCCCCAAAAAAAAACCTAAATCCCCCATTTGCAGACACGCAGCTGATTCCTCTGAATCTCTCTCTCTCTCTCTCTCTATCTCTATCTCTATCGTTGGTCTGAGGTTAGCAACGGCTTCCGACCTAGCCCGACATTGGCGATGTTGTGGTGATTCTTCCGCCTCCCCGTCCAGCCATGTGACCATGTCAAAGAAGGTTCGGATCCTCCCGTCCTCATTCCTGACTTACATTCTTCAGGGGGGCCATCTTGATTTCTTGTTCTTTGTTCTCTTTGGTCGGTTGATTTCTCTGGTGGTTGCTGCGGATGTGTGTCTTTCGACCGCATTGCGGGGCTGTGTTGGGGGTTGAGCTTCGTGGGTTCTTCGATTGTTGCCGTTTGCATTGTGGGGTTTCTTTGGCTGGGTAACGCGGCATAATGTGTGTAAAGGTTTGATCTTTTTGGCTACCTTGTTGTCGTGGAGATTGACGGATTTAGGAGGCCGACATGGTTTTCCGATTTTTTTTTTGTCGAAGTGTAATACGTTGCTGGGCTTGATGGGTCTGATGCCGTTTGTGTCTTGTCCTGCTCCCAAATGCGGGCTTTGTGTTTTTTCGTTTCCCTTGGCTCTTGAAAGGGATTTGAGTCTCTGTTTTATTTGTTAATAGCACTAGCGCCTCTTTTTTTTTTTTTTTGTCTATTCGTCGTTTGAAATTTTAAAATTTAAATATGGAGGAGGCTCTGTTAAGAAAGACAAAGCCGGTGTTGATTTTTCAAAACTGCTGAAAGGGACGTGGTTTCGAATTTAATATGATTCTGTGTCTTTATGTGGAATGTTGGGAGGTAATTAGATATATGTATTGTAAAATGAGAAGTCCTTTTCTGTGACAATTTTTCTGTGACATTGTCATTTTAAACTTGGAAAGATTTCACATGTAGGAACCCATTACTGTGTATTTGGATATCAATCTTTCTGCACAGCAAGAGCTGTGAGGAATGTCTCTTTTCAAGAGCATGTTCCCGTTAGTGTCAGATGTGTCGAAACTAACACCTTCATTGTTAGGAGCTACAGAAGCATAAAATGAATATGTATGCCTTCCGAATCATTTTTATTGGTAGACAATATCGTGTGACACAAAGGAATACACGAGATAGACTTGGTTTCGTAGAGCCTACAAGGAGAATACACCGAGCTTCACAGTAGGAGGAAACCAAAGTTCAGGGGCACAAACAGTAATGCTGAATTAATCCAAGCACGAAACTCTTCTGCACTACTTTCATCAAAACGTGAATGGCCACCCTGTCACTTTGTATTTTTCTCTCTTTCACCCAAAAACGAAAAAGGAAAGAACATTTTGTTTTTCTCTTCTCAGTTAGCACCGACACTTCATTCATCTAGAGGCCTAATGCCCCCTCCTTGTTTTTCGGGGCTTTTACCCCAAGAGAGAGAGTAATCAATTGGCACATCTACTTGACCTTGATAGTCCTTCTACCTGGCCAATTTTCATGAGCCCAAGACATATCTTGAACCGTGAATACGAGCCACATACTTAATGAATCTCCACCTTGATGAGCATATTCCAATAGATGGCTCTGACCTGCTGAGAAAAATTTACAGAAACTGCTTGCTAACAAGTTTTGGATCCAAACTAACCCTTTCTTCCGTTGTAGGAGCAACTAGTGAAAATACAATCTTTAAAGTTAAGATTTGACTTCCCAGGAATAGACAAGTAGGAAACAAAAAAAACAAAAAAAAGATAAAATAAAGCTGCCAACACTATACAACACAAGCATAATCCATAAACTTAAATATCGATCCAGACGCTGCCAACTTGGTAACCAAACATTTGTTGGGCCACATAGATGATTATAGAAGAGCTAAGGACGAGCAAACAGCTCGAAATAGGATCAATTGACATCTTTAAGCAATGATAATAAAACAAGATAAAGGCCTAACCGAAAAATTTCCTGGCCATATATAATTATAATACTGTCTTGTTAGGAACAACTAGAGTGTAAAAGAACATATGCTGTGCGAAATCAATGGAATAGGTAAACTGGAATATAAAACACAGATTAATAAATAGGTTATGTGGTTCAGCGGTATGGGCAACGCTCGGTAGTATTGTGGTCTGTGAACCCAAACTCAAAAGTCTTGTGCACCTACTCATTAACCTTGAAAGGTCATTCTCTCGTGAGCTGCGTCTCTATAATTATGATTAGCATGCTTTCTGTACCCATGGAGGTCAAACTATATCTGATTATGACATTTACTGCTCAAGTATACTAATTGACTTGTATCTCGATTTGTCTGATTTTCTGGAAATTAGATCAATCAATTCTTCTTGATCCAAAAGATATCTTCTATGGTAAATGCACTTCATACCGATCTCAATCCCCTCAGGAAAGGTATATCTGGTCATGCCTAGAAA